GCAATGAATAGTGTTGTGTGAATAGTCGTTCATTCGGAGGCACTGAGACAAGGAACTAAGAGAAATTATTTTCACAGAGGGCCAGGATTCGCTCAGATCCTGTGACAAAAGGTAGCATGTTCTGAGATTTCCTTTGTGTGTGTGTGTGTGTGTGTGTGTGTGTGTGTGTGCGTTTAACACAGTTATTCTTTTTCTTAATTTAATTTTTATTAGTGAAACGCTATGAGGTGCAGTTGTAGACTTACAAACTTTCGTGCTTGGGTTTCAGTTATACAATTATTGAGTACCCATCCCTCCACCAATGCCCATTCTTCTCCACCACCAATGATTCCAGTGGCCCTCTCACCCCCTCACCCCACCCCACCCCGGCTCCACCTCTGAGATTCCATTTTATTATATCCTACCATACATACCTCTAAAGGTCTCAATACAGTGACATCATCAATAAAGAACTTACAGGAAGAACATTGAGGCAGTAAGGCATAACTTGTTTCTATATGTCTGCAAATCAGTGGGTTTCAGCCTCTGGAAAGAAATCACTTGTAATCACTTGCCATCCCATTGTTCATCGATTTGCTTGTGGGTACCAGTAATGTCTCCATTCAACCCTGTCTTGTGCTAATGTGCCTACTGGCGTCTGCTCACTCCAGGAACATGAAGAGCATCAAACCGTTTGTTCAGGGTCTTGACAAAGAAGTCCGACCATCTTGTAGGTGGTCGGCCAGGTGTTCTTTTGACGTCCCGTGGAATCCAGTCGATAATGGCTCTAGTCCAGCAGTCATCTCCAAATCACATTACCTGTCCAGCCCATCTGATTTTCGACACCTTGGCAAACGAGGCAGTGTTTCTGATCTTTGATTGCCGACAGAGACCAGAACTCTGGATTCCTTCTCTCACTTGAGTGAAGTGTGGTACTCCAAGCATAGCTCTTTCAATTCCTCTTTGGGTGATCCAAATAACGTTCTCATCCTGTTTTCATAGGACCCAGGTCTCTGAGGCATATGTTAGTGCAGGAAGAATGGTGGCGTCGAAAAGATGTGCCCAGAACTAGAGGTTCTACATCCTCTTAACAACGTCTTCAATGCTCTTGAAGGTGTTCCACACTGCACTCTTCCTCCTGCACAGTTCTGATGCCAAGCCTTTTCTCATGTTGAGTTCTCAACCCAGGTACACACAGCTTCTTCATTCGGAGATGTTCGTTCCGTTTAGAACAAATGGAATGTCAGGGACTAGTTTGTTTTTCATCAACATTGTCTTGGTGAGATTCAGCTGCAGTCCGACCTTTGCACACTCAGGATCGAAGTCGGCCAGGATTTGTGCTGCTTGGCTAATGTTTTGCCAAGAACGATGTTATCAACAAAGCAGAGGTGATGTCATTGCTGACCATCTGTCTTCACTTCCATTTTTTCCCATTCTAGTCATTGCATGACGTTCTCAAGTGTGGCACTGAAGAGTTTTGGTGAAATGGTATCATCTTGCCGAAACCCTTTCTTAACTTCAATGATCACTTCCTTGTAGAATGGTGAGATTCTAGTGGTGAATTCACAATACAGCTCGTGAAGGATCCGATGTACTGAGTGTGAATGCCCTGTTTGGCTAGGGCTTCGATGACCGCTTCAGTCTCAACAGAATAAAAGGCCTTCTTTAAATTGATGAACATTAGACAGAGTGGCATCTTGATCTCTAGCGAAACCTCAGTGAGCTTGGTCACTGTGTGGATATGGAAAGAAATAAAAAACCTAAAGCTTTCCTGGGCTACAAGCACCTGGGGTTTCCATTCCAAAGACAAGCTGGGCTAGCACCTGGGATCTGCATGTCAAAGACAGGCTGGAAGTATTAGGATCTGCATACTACAAACAAACAGGCCTGACTCTTTTGGTATACTGAAATTTATGTTATTTACTGAAGGCAGCTTAAAGAAAGAGTTGTTCAGCGTCATCCAAACCAGTCTGGACAAATGAGTAATCTCGCCCATTTTCATGGGGCCCCGTGTTCCTGCCTGTTTGCGGTACAGTTTTCATGGGCTCATCCTGACAGCCTTGTCCTGCCCCAATAGTGGTGAATGTTTTTCTCCTTGGGGATAAATGCCCAAGAGTGGAACTGCTGGGTCAAGTGGACTCTCAATTCTAAGTTTAATGAGAACCCTCCATACAGTTTTCCGTAGGGAATGAGTCAGACGATACTCCATCCAGCAGTGGATGAAGGTTCCTTTTTCACCACATCCCCACTAGCAGAAATTTTTTTCCAGTATTTTTGATATGTGCCATTCTCACTGGTGTGAGACAGTATCTCATTGTTGTCTTGATTTGGATTTCCCTGATAATGAGTAATGGTGAGCAGTTTTTCATGTGCCTGTAGCCATCCATCGCTCTTCCACAGTGCGGTTTTTGGAGTAATTGTTGTTGATCATTGTGAGTAGTTTATATATACTGGATATCAACTCCTTATCTGATATGTTGACTACAAATATTTTCTCCCATTCGGTTAGCTGTCTTTTAATTTTAGCCTGTGTTTCTTTTACCATGCAGAAACTCATTAATTTGATGGAGTCTTATTTGCTTAATTTTGATTCTGTTGCCTTTGCCAGTGGCATTGTTTCATTGAAGACACCTTTAAGGTCCAGATCTTGGAGCATTCTGCCTATATTTTTCTTACTGTATTTTATAGATTCTGGTCTGATGTCAAGGCCTTTGTTCCACTTTGAATTGACTTTTGTATAAGATATGAGTTGCAGATCAGGTTTTATTTATTTGTTGGATTTTGAGGTCACACTTAGCAATGCTCAAAGGTTACCCCTAACTCTGCACTCAGGAATTACTCCTGGCAGTGCCAGGGGGACCATACGGGATGCTGGGGAACAAACACAGGTAAGCCACATGCAAGGCAAATGCCCTACCCTCTGTAGTAATGCTCCAGCCCCAGATCTGGTTTTAATTTTTGTGTATGGCTATCTAGTTGTCCAGTTTGCCAGCACCATTTGTTGAAGAGGCTGTCTTTATTTCATTTCATGCTTACAACACCTTTGTAAAAAATTAGTTGTGAGGGTTTGTCCTTGGATATTTTGTTCTGATCCATTGGTCAGAGAATCTGTCCTTATGCCAATGCCATGGTGTTTTGGTCACTGTGGCTTTATAGTGTAGTTTTGAGTTAGATAATGAGATACTATTTTTCAGTATGGTTTTGGATATTCAGGGTTTTTTATGTTCCCATACAAACTTGATTATGTGCTATTATTCTAAGTCCTTGAAGAATGTTGTCTGAATTTGAATAGGGATTGTGTTGTATCAACCTAGTAGTTTAGCTAGGATGACCATTTTGACAATATAGACTCTTCCAATCCAAGAGCATGAAATATTTTTCCATTTCCTAAGGTCTATTTCTTTCTTAAGGATCTTGAAGTTTTCATAAATACAGATCTCCTACTTCTTTTGTTAAGTGGCTCCTAGGTACTTGGTGTCCTAGGGTAGTATTTTGAATGGGATAGACTCTTTGATCTCTTTCTCCTCTGATTAACTATTTGTATACAAGAACGTGACTGGTTTTTGTGTCTTGAATTGTTACTGGGGGCCACTTTTGCTGGATCGGTTTATTAGAAGTTTTTTGTGGACTCTTTGGGTCTACACTGTATAATATCATGTCATCTGCAAAAAGAGACAATTTGGCTTCTTATTTTCCAATTTTGACCCTAATGATTTCCTTTTCTTGCCTTTTGCTGTTGCTAGGACTTAAAATACAATGTTGAACAAGAGAGGAGACAGTGCACATCCTTGTCTTATACCTGATCTCAGTGGGAATGCTTTCAGTTTCTCACCATTAAGAACAATGTTCGCTGGAAGATTGTTATATAGATAGATTTAACTATCTTGAGGAAGGTCACTTCTACTCATATTTTGTTGAGCTTTTATTATTTTTTATCATAAATGGATATGAATCTTATCAAAAGCTTTCTCTGCATTGTTTAAGATAATATGTTTCATCTTTCCTTTCACTGATGTGGTATATTAATTGATTTGTATGTATTGAAACTTTCTTGCATCTCTGGGATAAATCCTATTTGACTGTGTGTACGATTTTTTGGATATGCTGTTGGATTTGGTTTGCTAAGATTTTATTAAGGATTTTTGCATCAATATTCATCAGGGAGATTGGTCTGAGATTTTTTTTTTTTAGCCATACCAGATGGCTCTCAGAGCTTATTCCTGGCTCTGCTGTCAAGGATTACACCTGGTGAGCTCTGGAGACCACTGGGGACACCAGAGATTGAGGCAGGGTCAGATGCATGCAAGGCACTTGACTTACCTGCTATAACTTTTCTGCCATCAGATGGTCTGACTTTTATCAAAGAAATCAGTGAGAAAGTTTCCAGATAAAGTACCAGATGCCCAGTTAAATTTAAATTCCAGCAAAATAATGGATAGTTTTATCATAAAAGTATTTCATATTACATGTATTACTTAATATTACATACTACTAAAATTATTTATCATTTCCCTAGAATTCAAATTTAACCGGGCTTCCATAATTTTATTAAATTTGGATATTCAGCCATTAAGTTATAGGACTCATTTTGTTGAAACCCACTTTATAGTTAATGTCTATGGAAATACCTTTATTTATTTTTAAGTTGAATTTTGTTTTATTTTATTTGCTTTCTTTGGGTCATATTTGGCTATGCTAAGGGACTGTAGCTCTGGACTCAGGAATACTCCTGGTGGTGCTCAAGGGGCCATAAAGAATGCTGGAATTGAACCCAGGTTAGCAGTGTGCAAAGGCAAATGCTCTACCCGCTGTCCTATTGCTCCTACCCCAGTGGAAATACCTTCAAAGAGACTGCTCACACAGATACAACAGACCAGGAAATGTAGGTAATTCTTTCTTTAATGTGATTCATTCTATTTTGTGTCAAACCCAGATTCACAATTACAGCGCAGTGGACTGCTTTGATCTGTTTAACAGTTGGGAGCCCATGAACGACAGTGACTTGGGTCTGATCCCAAGTGTCAGAAGCCGTGTCTCTTCAGGTACTTGGCTCGAGCGAGGACGTCGTTGCAGAAGTCACAGCTCAGGTCCTGGGTGCCTCTGACATAACCAGGACCTCCACTGTAGGCACAGAGCCCACCTGGAATTCACAAGATCGGTTAGTGTTGATGCCGTGACGCCGTGATTAATTTAGAGTCTCCTCATTTGCTTAACAGGAGGCAACGGAGAATCCGGTGCAAAACATTCCATTTGTCCCTGCTTATTCCTACCGTGGAACCATCGCCTGCTGCTTAAACGTACCTCTCAGGTACTGATCAGGGCTCCAGGTCGGAAACCGTCTCTGGATTTCCTTGATTCTAAGAGTGAGGTCTTCAGTCATTTGGGAAACCTGGCCCTGACTGATGAGCACTGTGGGGGCATAAACGCCAGAGTCCTGGAGGGAGACAGACAGAGGAAGGTAATGTAAGCCATTAGGATGCGGGAAGGATTCTGTGGCTTCATGGCATCAGAGCTACCTCTTCATTTCCTTTCCTCCTCCTCCTCCTCCTCCTCCCCCTCCTCTTCCTCTTCTGATCCTTCTCCTCTTTCTCTCCCTCCTCCTCCTGCTTCTCTCCCTCCCCACTTTATGGATTTCAGGGTCATGTGAATCTTTCTAGGGCTAAAGAGAAAAACTCAAGTATGGGGCAAAGACAGAAACAAGCAAATATTTCACGGTTGTTTTTGTGTAATGGTGGGAGGCAGAATCATTAGCTAAAGGTGACAGAGGGAGATGGCATAGGTGCTAGTCTGGTGTCTCCCCTGCAAAACTGCAAAAGAAAATATTCTAAACAGCCAGAGAGACTTGTTTCCCTCTGTACAATCACGTGCCACTTAACAATGGTGATTCAGAGCCAGTAAGAGAATTTTAATGATTAGAACTCAAGATTTTTGTGTGAGAGACCTGGGGTTAGTCCAAGCACCACTGGCCACCTCTAGGGGTGACCTTTGAGTCCCTCAGAGTATTGCCCAAACACACAAAGTAGAACAATGAGAGGGACAAACTCTGAGAAATGTGTGGGTTTCGGGGAGATGTTACACTCAGCGGTGCTCAAAAGACCATGTGGTGCCAGGCCTTAAACCTGGGGCTCTTGCATGAAAACTATGTACCTTTGAGTCATACCCACACCCAAGAAAAGTGTTTTAGGTAATTTTATCATTGTACAAACAGCATGCGGTTAAATGACACAGGCTTAACTGGTGTGATTCATTCCATAACCATATTGTCCTGTGAGCAGTACCACTGGCCGAGACGCCGGTGCTAGGCGGCCCACAGCAGACGAGAACTCTCCTTTCAACTCACTGCCTGGGTCAAGCTTCTGGTAACAATTCTTCTTTGTGACCTTTGGATGCTGCTCTATATCAGTTTAATTTAGGAGAAACATCTGATTCTAGAAGTTTCTTTCATCATCTTCAGGGGAAAACATCCAAGAATAAGGCAGAACAGAGTGGTGACCCCACTTCTGTATTTTCCAGTTTTCATGTGACTTTTTATCAACGGCTGTCTCCTTGTGTACCTCACTTGTGTTTCTCACTTAGAAAGGGTGGGTTGCATAATTTTTACACTACCCTAATTCTGGATTATTGGATAAATACCAAAATCAAAGTAAAATATAGATCTCAAAAGTGCTTTTAACCTGAAAAATATCATAAAAAGTACTAATGGGAAGTCAGCTTAAAGATTACCAAGGAATACATCCTCCTAAAAGTTTATAAAATGATTAAATACATACATATTTTTCAACAGCACCATGCAACATGCAATAATAAAGAGTATGACCTTATTGTTTCCCCTGCCAGCAACAATTCTTTCAGCACATAGTTCAATGTTAATTACCGAGCAGTTCCATGAAATTTTTTATCAGAAAACAAATAACACAACAGAATGAATGCAAATATTAAATTTGGTATTAAGAACTAAGAATTGTGGAAAAGAAGAGAAGAAATGAACCCGGTATCTGCTGATAATCTACAGGTAGCAAGTACTTTTCCCCATTAGTTATTGAATTTTTATAAAAATTCTGAATGTGGCATTTTATAGTGATACACTGATGACTGGAGAGACTAAACGAGTTCTCTGAATGCACAGTTACAAAGGAAAAGAACCAGCGTTCATTGAGTGATTTTTCTAGAAGTTCAGGATGGGCTGCATGGATGACCTCTGGGAACCACAGCATACTTTACTTTGAAAGAAAATTGTGGCTCAAAGTAGACAGGAATGAAGCTGTGCATAACTCTGGAGCACAGCCAGGGCTCTGGCAACCTCAGGGAGTAACTGCACTGTGTTCTATGGAACTGTGTTTCTTTCACAACTGGCAACCTCAGGGAGTATTTGCCCCGTGTTCTCTGGAACTGTGTTCCTTTCATAACAGATGTAAAGATGTTTCTCTGGGAGCTGTGCCACACGACACAACAGCCACAACTGACAGAAGCTCACCTGTACCAGCCTGGCTCCATCACCCGCGCTTCCCACGTTGACCAGCACCTTGCCACCCAGAGACTCCCTGGACAGGACACCGGCGATCACCGCAGGGTCCATGCAGTACTTCTGGCCCACAGTGCGCATCATGGGCTGGTACCTCACCAGGTACGGCATGTCCATCTCAGCCAGCCTCTCAGAGGCACGGACTCCTGAGACAACACAAAGGGAAAGATGATCAGTGTGGACACAGGAGCTTGAAGAAAGGGAAACACTCTGAGAACCTGAGCCCTGACTCTCTCTGAAACCCCTTGAGTCATTCTCAGACTTCTGACACTCATCTTTGAGCTTGCATTGGCTTCCCTTGTAGCAGTGTCCTCTGTGGTAGCCAGAACCCCTTAGTGGGACTCTCAGGGCTACTCTGGTCCCCTCAGGACAATCTTAAGGACACAGACACTGCTGATTCCATCACAGGTACCCCAACAAAGATACAAAAGGAAATGCGCCTTTCCAAAAGCCACAACGGGAAGCTTCTGTGAAGAACACATTTTCCCAAACCTGGGAAGGTAGTCCTGAAGAGATTCTCTGACAGATTTGCTCACCTCTGCTCACCTTTCAATCCCCAGAAAGAATTTATTATGAAATTATAATTAATAATAGTATTTCTAATATAATCAATTTTATTGTCATGGACCTCTATAAAATAATAATGTTGGGGAAAATAGATCAATTCTAATATATCTGACTAATCTACCCCTCAAGAACTTATGTTTTCGGGCTGGAGAGATAGCACGGCAGGTAGGGCGTTTGCCTTGCACTTGATCGACCAGGGTTCGATTCCCAGCATCCCATATGGTCCCCTGAGCATTGCCAGGAGTAATTTCTGAGTGCATGAGTCAGGAGTAACCCCTGTGCATCGCCAGGTGTGACCCTAAAAAAAAAAGCAAAAAAAAAAAAAAGAACTTATGTTTTCAAAAGTGCTCTCAGCCACTTTCTGTTGACCAGAGCTTTCAGCACCACTGTTGAGGTTCTGATCACCTTCTACCAACAGGGTCTTGGGAGAGCTGAGTCGTTGCTGAAAAAGCAGAGCCAGCAGAGACAAGGCCCTGAGTCTTCTTCACTCGTGAGCTTCCATCCCTGGTGAAAGTGTGGGGCTATGGAGATACCGGGGACCAAACGGAGGTGCTGAGAGAATCAGAGTGTGTGGGGGCCAAAGAGAAAGCACTGTGGTAAAGCTCTTGATCTGTTCTTTGCACCTTACATTCTGCCCCAACGCCATCAGCCCCTGGGTATGGCCCCTATTTAAAGTATGTGAAAGACATGGAGATTGTGAGTATCACGGAAGGTCAAAATACAGTGGCAGTCTCCCATTTCGAAAGGAGCCTTCTTCTGAGAGAGAGGAAAAGATGAAGCGGAGGGCACGGTTGACAGTATAACTACCACAGTAATTCAGGCCTTGGCGTCGTCCAATCCCGCATGATGCCCCAGGAGTGCTCAGGGTTCGGATGTTTCCATAGCAGCCCCAATTGCTACTTTCTGATGAACCTTCAAATTGAGAAAGTATTGACTTAAGGCATTGAGTCAGAATAGTTCTCGTCACCCTCTGTCCCTGAATGAAGTGATATTAATAAAAATCCATACTAAAACTGATAACAAGAATCACAACCTGCAATAGAAACACTTTTGAGATGTAAACTAAGAAGTTAATATAAAAACTGCCTTAATACTAGATTCTTATTCACCACCAAGCTCCCTCCCTCCCCAAATCCCCATCCATCACGCTAAGAGCATGAGCAGTTACTCTCCTCTGAAGGTGTGCATTTCAGGTTTGGTCACAAGGAGCACTGCTTCAAGACTCCTGAGCAATCTGACACCCTCCCCTCTTATAGGTCACCTGGAAAGATGCTGCGTTGGCTACCGCTAGCTTCACTATATGTAGAACAGCTCAGGAGAGAAAAAAAAATATTTCCCACAGCAGTTTCAAAAGTCACAAGTACCATCATGTTCCTATGCATGTCCTTCCCATTGCCAAGGTCATCTGGGAAAACAAATACTCACCAGCCAGGGCCAGCAGGCCCAGCAGCAGCCACAGTGCAGGCATAGCGATGTGCCGGCCAGGGACCCTACAGCGTCCTTAAATAGAAAACAGTCCAAAAATGTGAAAAGAAATCAACTGCCACCATAACTATGTATAATATTTTCTTAAAAAGGGATTTTCTATGGGCACTGCACTGCACTGCACTGTCCTCCTGTTGTTCATTGATTTGCTCGAGCAGGCACCAGTAACGTCTCACAAATTGTGAGACTTGTTGTTGCTGTTTTTGGCATATTGAATACGTTGTGGGTAGCTTGCCAGGCTTTTCCGTGTGAGCGAGATACTCTCAGTAGCTTGCTAGTCTCTCCAAGAGGGGCGGAGGAATCAAACCCGGGTTGGCTGCATGCATGCAAGGCAAACGCCCTACCTGCTGTGCTATCACAAGAGACATATTTTCTCATGCCTGAATGAAAAAAATTAACAACTTGAATAATAATGGGGAAAGCAAGTGGAAGACATAAGAGCTGTGCAGCTTTTTCTTTGTGTGTGTGATTTTTAAAAAATTTTATTTATTTATTGAATCACTGTGCGATATAGTTAGAAAGCTTTCATGTTTGAGTTTCATACAATGATCAAACACCCATCCCTCCACCAGTGCATATTTTCCACCACCAATGTCCCCAGTATCCCCCCATCTCATCCCTCCCCCTGCCTCTATGGCAGACAATTTCCCCCATACTCTCTCTCTACTTTGGGGCATTATGGTTTGTAATACAGATAATGAGAGGCCATCACGTTTGGTCCTTTATCTACTTTTACGTGCAGCTTTTTCTACCAGCCTCAACTGATGAGACACTGCTGGAGTCACATCAGACCGTGGAGTGACTTGATGCAATTATTTTAAGAAAACTAAATTCTGGAAGCATAGTGGCTCAATTCAGATGGATGGGTATTAATTATCCCATACGCCATTTAAAAAGGCTGATACAAAAAAGGATAACTTTTCATTCATGTTTCTCTTAATTGGGCTCTTTTTTTCCTAGGCTAGAGGCAAGGTTAAGCTTGTGAACATATTTTTGCTTTGGAGGAGTGGAAAGACCTCTCCCCTGTTCCTCTCCTGAGTATCTCACAGCCTCTGGCTCACCTTGAGTCTTGTTCCTTATTCTTGTGTGAAAATCTCCCCTGCAAGAACAAACTTCACACAGAGCAAACCTCACACAGAGCCCCCTAAGGCAGGTGGTAGGCAGCAGTCGTGGTTGGGCTCCTGAGGGGTTCAACACAGCTGCCACAGAGAGCCACTTGTGCCCGTGCACTCTCCCATCTCAAGCATTCCTCTCTTCATCTTCCACATGCCCAAAGAGCTCTGTTCTCCACCTGACTTCTTCCATTGCACTGTAGCACTATCCTCCAACTGTTCATTGATTTGTTCGAGCGGGCACCAGTAACGTCTCCATTGTGAGACTTCTTGTTACTGGTTTTGACATATCGAATACACCACGGGGAGCTTGCCAGGCTCTGCCGTGCAGATAGGTTATTCTCAGTAGCTTGCCAGGCTCTCTGAGAGGGACAGAGGAATCGAACCCGGGTTGGTTGCATGCAAGGCAAATGCCCTACCTGCCGTGCTATCGCTCCAGCCACTTGCTAACAACAAGTACAGAAATGCACCGGAAATAGTTTCCAATTTACCCCAGGGAATGCTGGGAATACCAGCCACCTGTCCAAAAACTCCTAATTCCCACTGCCCACTCCTATTCAGGGTTTTCCCATAATATCTGGCTGTCATCTAGGCTGGGCTACCTATTATTTTGAGTAATGACTGTCATTAGAAGTAGGAGTGTACATATTCATATGCACTCAGAACTTTCATTGTGCTTTTTCTGGTCTCGTTTGTTTTAAATTCTTAGGGGTTGGGGTGTTGCCTTCCAAACACTGGGGAATAGATTTCATTTCAAGATGCGGGAGATTATTAAGGAAGACATACATTTCAATTATCTTCTTAAATAGAGAGGCAGCAGTGTCCCTCAGACTGTAGCGTGTTTTTTTTTCTTCCCTATACAATTGAGATAGTTTTCTTGGTTCCCTTAGTAGAGAGAAAACTGTCCTGCTGGACTGGAGTGATAGTACAGTGGGTAGGGCATTTTTGCCTAACATGCACCAGACCCAGGTTCATTCCTCGGCATTCCATAAGGTCCCCGAGCACCACCAGGAGTAATTCCCGAGTGGCGAGCCAAGAGTAACCTTTGAGTATTGCAAGGTGTGACCAAGAAGAAACAAAAAGAAAAAGTCCTGCTTACTCCAATACCAGAAAAGGCAGAGACTTGGCCTTTGAGAGTGCAGGAACTCCCAGATGCAATCATACAACAGGGCCATTTAGTCCCAGCCCTGAAGAGAGAGGACATTTAGTCATTCAGTCTCAGGAGCAGAATGGAGAAAGAGTGATCTGAATCCAGGAAAAGTTTGTCTTATCAAAGCGTGTCTTCACAGGGGCTTCTTACTGACTTTATGCAAAGATCCCTGCAGTAGAGAGCTGCTTGTGTAAAGATATTGAACTCTTTTTTGCAAGAAACAAAAATATTCCCTTTTGGAACCTGGGCAAGAAGATGGACCTTTTACTGAAACAAGAAAGTCAGCTCATTTTTCAAGCATGAAATTCAGCATCTGTGTTAAGTAGACTTGAATAAGAGTCTATGTAAATACATGTACAGGTGTTCTTAGGAACACAGAGTTACTATAATTTTTTTCAATTAAAAGAAAGAAGCAGCAAGTGAAAATGAACATAAGTTCCACAAGTTGACACAACCCAAACTCCTTGATCCGATTTCAGAGGTGCCAAATGATGCGGAGTGAATGTCACAGACTCCTGCATGTGCTCGACATGTGTTCTCCTGTGGTGGTCAGTTTAACCCTGTGGCTCCCTGACACAAAGCCCCAGCTCAGCAGAGTGCAGTGCGTGAGCTTCCCAGCACAGCCTTTGCTGCATCCCTCCCCCATCCTGGGGAGTTCGGTGATCACAGGCAACAGGGCAGCTGCTGGCAGGCTGTTGGGCCCCTGAGAACACAATCTGGACCCTTTGGAGGCCCACTCAAATCCCAGTGGTCTTTCCTCAGACCACCCCCCTCCACTTGTGTGATTTTCATTATTATTGTGATCATTATTATTCTAAATATGTGATTGCATTATTTAGATGTACAAGGCATGGGGAGTCACTAATTCTTCAGTTAGACCTTTTTTTTTTTCCTTTCTTTCTGGCAAAGTACAAAGGTGTTGTTATGAATGGTCTCCTTGATCTTTTTTTTTTTTTTCATTCTGGGTCACATTCATCGATGCACAGGGGTTACTCCTGGCTCTGCACTCAGGAATTACTCCTGGTGGTGCTCAGGGGACCATATAGGATGCTGGGAATCAAACCCAGTTCAGTCACGTGCAAGGTAAACACCCTACCCGCCGTGCTATTGCTCCAGCCCGTCTCCTCAATCTTTACCGGAAATTTTGAACCAGAGCCACCCCAGTTCTTGGGGCCCCCCAGTCAACCTGATGCATAAGCTGTGGAGCATCCTGACTCTAGGGAATGACGGTGAAGCGATGAGAAGAGTCTAAGGAAACACCAGTGGGCTGGAGCAATAACACAGCAGGTAGGGCATTTGCTTTGCATGTGGCCGCATGGGTTCGACTCCCAGTATTCCATATGGTCTCCCGAGCACCACCAGGAGTAATTCCTGAGTGCAGAGCCTGAAGTAACCCCTAAGCATCGCTGGGTGTGACCCCAAAAAATAAACAAAAAAAAAGAAGTAAGGAAACACAAATGTAGGTTACTTAGGGACACAGCACTTCTCTGTGTGAGAACAGCCAACTGCTCTATATGTCTCCTGATTCTATTCTTCTCATTTCTGTGTCTGCTTAGTCCCTGTGACTGAGAGTCTTCCCACAGCTTGAATACCTCTGACTCTGTCAAACTTAAACTATTAGACATACTAGCCTTGGTTATTTCAAAGCTTCCAGCTCTTAGTCATAAGTTCTCTCCTGCTCTGTTCCTGTCTCATCTTCACATGGGCATTCACACGTGCCTTGAAGACTGCTTGGAGCACTAGACATTACATTATAGCATGACAATCATGAATGCAAGATCTACCTCCCAAAAAGGTCACATTTTCTTCAGAAGAACTTTTGAGAATAAACTGTTCAAGCCACTTTTTGCAGAGCTGCGTTTTTCCATCACTGTATCACTGTCATTGTATCTCTGTCACCCCCGTTATTCATTGATTTGCTCGACCAGTCTGCATTCGTCCTAGCCCTGAGATTTTAGCAGCCTCTCCTTACTCATCCTTCCCAATGGTCCTGCATTGGAGACTCTTCAGGGTCAGGGGAATGAGACACATCACTGTTATTGTTTTTGGCATATCAAATACACCAGGGGAGATTGCCAGGCTCTGCCATGCAATTTTCCCCTGTTATATGAAAATCTGTATTTACTGAATTGTGAGTAATGATAACCCGGCTACAAGAGCTCAGAGGCTCATTACTTCTCTCTCTCCCTCCCTCTTTTTCTCCCTCCCTCTCTCTGTCTCTCTTTTTCTCTCTTTCCCTTTCTCTTTCTTTGCCTCCCCCTCTATTTCTCTCCCCTCCCCTCTCTGTCTCTCCCTTATTTTTAGAGTACACCCAGCAATGTTCAAGGCTTACTCCTGGCTTTGTGTTCAGGGATCACTCCTAGTGGGCTCAGGGAACAAAAATAGGCGTTCGCATGAAAGGCAGGTGCCCTCCCCACTGTACCATCCCTCCAGTCCCTTGCTCTTTTTTCTGGATGGGGAGGTCCATTTCTCATGAACCAAACTGGAAGGACGTTCCTTCTCTCTCTGTTCACGTTGCTATTTGGGATTTTCAGAGTCAAGCACCCTCGAAGGCTCATGTTCTGGTGACCTTCAAGGAAAGTCCCGTTCTGGGTAAAGGCCAAGTCAAAGAGATGGTGATCTCTTTTTTGCACCCAAGATTCTTGAAGCTTGTCTGTCTCTGACTCTGTCAGACTTTAGCTAGTAGACAAATTGGCCTTAGTTATTTCAAAGCTTCCAGAG